TAGTGGCAGATCTGGTGGCAGGAGTGCCCTTGCTGTGTTGTTTGCACAGTTCTGAGCACAGCAGGTGCCTGCTCCTGCTGCACAATCCTGAGTGTTACAGCCGCTGCTACTGACTGCTCCTGCTCCCACTGATGAATAACAACTGCATTTTCCCTGCAGCCCCTTAAAGGGGAAGGTAATTTGGCAAAAGGCAGGCAGGCTGCAGTGGGTATGGCAGCCCATTTCCCCATGTAAATAACTCCTCCTTGGAGAGCCCTGCCAGAACCTGCTCTCGTGGGTGCACATTGCTGGGAGGGGGACAGGGAAAGGGGAGCTCAGAGCAGTCTGAGCACTCCTGGGCTGCTGTCACACGGAGAAAAATGGCCATGCTGTGCGAGGCTGCTGGCAAAACTGGGCCTGAAACAAACCCCAGAGTGGCTCTGGGAGTTTGGAGCGGGTTCTCTGCAGTTCACACAGGACCATTAGTGACCCGTGGATATGATTGCAATGGCACAGGGACACACGCAGAACAATATTATCCTACAGAAAGAGCTGGCCTGGAAACAGGCCTTCAGGAAACTTCTGAGTCCATTGCTCCAGAGACTAAAGCACTTACTCTGTTCTTTCCTTTCACCTGAAACCCTACATTAAACCTGCTGAAAAAAATGACCCCAGGACTTTTGCACCCAGTACCCCTTTGTTGAGAGCCCAGAGCTGACACAGGGCTCTGAAACTTGCGGTGAAGAAGCCAGTTGTGCTTTTCCTTCTTACAGGGTTTTATCTTTTTTTATGTTTTATCTACTTCTATTTTTTCCTTTTGATTTTATTTTCCTTTTTTCTTTTCCTCTTTTTATTTTCCCCCTTATTTTTTTCCTTTTTCCTTTTCTTTTTCTCTTGCCTTTTTTCCCCCCTTCTTCTTTTCTTTTTTTTTTCATTTTTCCTTTTTGTTCATCTTTCTCCTTTTAAATATTTCAATCTTCCTTTTATTCTTTTCTCTTTCCCCTTATCGTTTCCCCCTTTTCCCCCCTCCTTTTTTCCTTTTCTCTTTTCCTCATCTCTTTTTCCTTTCTCCTATTTTCTTTTCAATTTTTT